AAAAAAAAAGAAAGAAAAGAAAATACCAATAGAACTCTACAACAAAAATAATCTGCTCCAATTGTCACACCAGGGCAGTCTTCAAATGTGACAGCCATATGTTCCATATACATGTCTGGCTTACACTGACATGACAGCACATGTGCTTAGCATTCCTTTTCTGTGTGGCAGGCCATGGTGTCCTATTTCTTAGTCTTTTTTTTGTCAGGAGTTTACTGCTATATTGTACAATGTATATTTAGCAGGAGACTAAGATATCAATAAAATATCAGATATATAATGCGTGCTTAGAATAGACATCAACATTTTTACATCAGCTATTTAGTTGCTTATAAAACCTAAAAGATAACTTCAGAAATAAAAACCTGTGTTAACTACAATGTAAATACAAAGAAGAGTCAACCACAGAAATAAGCTTTGCTTCAACTGTCACACCTGAGGCAGTTTTCACACACGAAGACTGCATGTTCCATACACAGGTATCACTTAAAAAGCACATATGTTGTTTTCCTTTCTTTTTTTGTAGGGCATGGTTGACATCTTTTTTGTTTGCCTGTTGGAGTAGGTCTTTGTGATGCTGCACCTTGTCAGCTCACCAGTGTGCTCCAAAATTTTTTTGCATAGTTCCATGGGTAGAAATATTTAGCTTTTCCTCTGCTGTAAATGATCTCTTATGAGTTCCAGTCCCAATCTTCTAAGAAAATTTCTCCATGATATTTTGTACTAGCAAACTATTTATGTCACATGTGTTTAAGATCTAGTAAAACAAGCATTGACCAATGCTTTGTGTTCCAAGTGACATTATAGCTGCTACATGATTCAGTAGCTACTCCACTTTGGTTTTGTTGTAGCAAGTTACTGTCTCAGGCTTATGCACTATGAGTACTGTCATCATAGTGCAGTGTTGACCTCAGCAGTGCCACTTTGTCTTTCTTGGCCATATATGAGGCCATTGTTATATCGTTCTGAAATCTAAAGATTGTACTATGCATTTGTTTTGAATTTGCAGCATTTCATTTGGAATTTCTGCTTTATTCCTATGGTGGTCAACTTGTGCTCCTTGGCAAATATAACATTGTTTGGAAACTGGTAAACCTCTTGTCGAATGTCACATTCTGATTAGTCTGGGAGATGGGAGCAACAAGTCTGTTCACAACATCATTCAGTTTATTACTATACAAATAAAAACCTGGTGGCTGAGTTCCAGGAGAAATTTATAAGTTGAAAGCATACTAAGTGTTCACAAGGACATAAATTTTCATGCCATATTTGACGCATTGCTTCTCCATAAGTCTTTTCCATTCCTGCTATTTCCATGAGAAGTCCCTGCTAAGTACAGCATATTGGCTGTTCTTGATTTAAACTGCTTTCTGTTTTTACTTAACATTTTTATTTCCATATTTTCCCCTATTCTATTTAAATACAGAAAGATTCCATACACCTAAGATTAAGTAGATACTACTATGGAAATAATTTAACTTATAGAATGGCTAGCATGTCAGATTTTATGTTTTTTTATGTTACATTAGGTATTAGATTTACTTCTGTTTCTAGACTGTCTCCTTCCCTTACTTCCTTGGTACTTCTGCGTCAAATATTCAGATCCTCGAATAAGTAAAACACATAAGGTGGCACAGGTTTAGAGTTACCACATTTCTTTATTATCTACTCATATTTATTGGGAGCTTTAAGGCTTGAATTTATTTTCATTTTCATGAAGGTAAAATTAGTGATTTGGAAATTTAGTTAATACTGTAACTGTGACTATATTACTCTTATTTTAATAGATGAAGTGTTTAGAGGACATGAGCCAGGTCAAGCCTCAAACAGATCTGTGTCTGCAGCTGATGTTGTTTTATATGGAGTAAACCTCATTCTGCCCCTGATGTCACAAGATCTTTTGAAGGTAATTACAGACAGTGACTATGAATATTAAATCTATATTGAAGTTCAAAGATACTTTGAAAGGTACTGAGACAGTAATGTACATCTGACTTAATTAAGGAGTGTATGAAAATGAAATTTTTGTATTTCCATTAGTTAAACTTGTGCTTGCTTCCAGAGTCCTGTGCGCACTGATCCATTCATGATGCATTTTGTCAGGGCATGCTACAGAGAAAATTTGTTACTTTAGGTATTGAGTTTTGTTATCAGTTTTACTTTTCTTATCATGTGTTGTTATATTTTTGAACATTATTCTCAGGCTAAGAGGTTGAGTAGAGGATGGCATTTTCTAAGCCACTTATAGATAGAAATGGGATGGTAAGAAACCAAGAATAATGCAATTTAAAGTGCTCAAAAATCTGACTAAATTGTGCTTAGTTTCACCATTTGGTATTGGGGGTTGGAGGTTTGTAAGGCTGCCTTTTCTTCTTTTCATAAGCACTATAGCAGATACAAAGTCTCTTGTCATGATTGCCTGGGAAGCTAAGGGTGGAGAAGAAAGAGGGGTGTGTGCACACACAGGTGAGGATGAGAAGGAGGCAGTGGGAAGAAAAGAGAAATTGAGAATTTCTTGGAAGGTGAGGCTCCCAACACAACAGGCTCTCACTATGCATTTCCCTTCCTGAGAAATGCCTCTCTCGGAAGCAGTCTTGACACTCTGTGAGCCAGATGCTTGTGCAGCAGCCAGTGGGATGAACATGTTCAGCCAGTTCTGTGTGTTGGTTTGCTTTTAGGGTTGGTTTGTTTGATCAGATAACCATTAATTGTATATTTTCTCAAGTGTAAACTAGATTATCTGCTTTTTCTTTAATCCTCAAGGACTAAGTAGAAAGTAGTTGTTGGAAGAATAAGGACTAAAGACTGTGTTTAATGCATAATTTTAACTGTTATATTCCTTTCACTTTTCCAACATGTTTGACTGGAAATAAACACATTTATAGAAGGGTTTTATTTCCAGGTCATTTAATAATTTTGGATTTGTGTGTCTTATTTAATGTTCAGTGTAAATATCTATAGTGTGTGGAATTAACTGTGGCTTTTATTAATGATCCAAAAAAATAATTGTTTCTACTGTATATTACTTTTTTATAGTAGTTTATAAAATATTCCTTGAATTATAACATTTTTACATTTATTTAGGTTTGCATGTTTTCTATACTTTATACATGTTTTAAATAAATTGTTATATTGCTTAGGAACTTGTCACATTATAACATTAATGAAAATAAAAAGGTACTATTAAGCATCTAAATATTTAATATTTCTTTTTCAGTTTCCAACCCTTTGTAATCAGTACTACAAATTAATCACATTTATCTGTGAGATTTTTCCTGAAAAAATACCACAGCTTCCCGAGGATCTGTTTAAAAGTCTGATGTACTCCCTGGAACTGGGAATGACATCATATCCTTTAAATGAATTTTGGGAGGGGGGTTCTTACTTGGAAATATTTAAATTTGTAGTTTTCTTTTGTGGTTCAGTTTTATTTCTCCACATACTTATCTCTGTAACTGCTCTAATTCTATTTCTTTTGTTAATTTGCCTCATCCTTCCTCTTCTCATAAATGTTGAAGGCATTTGATCCCTCATCCCAAAGCCACTCCCTTATCAAGGCCCCAGTTGGCAATGCCACCTATTATTACTAGATCTCTGGTCTTAGCTTGCTGGTTAATAGTGTCACTTTTCATCTGCTGCACACGTCATACTGTATTTCCCTGAAAATAAGACTGGGTCATATATTCAATTTTTGCTGCAGGGCCAGGGATTTAATTCAGTGTCACCGCGCCTGCCTCACAAGCACAAGGTCCTGATTTTGATCCCTGGTACCAAATAAATAAATAAAATAAAATGTAGCTGTTCAGTTTGCAGCTACAAACAAAGCCTGCAGTCTTAGTACTCTGAGAAGCTGAGGAAAGAATGTCACAATTTGAGCTTAGCCTGGGCAATTTAATGACTTACCTACATCCTGTCTGAAAATAAAAAATAAAACTGGAAATGTAGCTCAGCACAAAGACCTTGAGTTCAATACCCAGTACCAGAAAAAAAAATTTTTTTTGCTCCAAATGATGGAATAGGGTTTATTTTCAGGGGATATCTTATTTTTTAATGTACAACAATCTACATTTATTTATGTGCAAAACTTTACCTTTTTTGAGATACAGTCATGTCATCTTCTTCTGGAAGATCATCATAACTATGTAAACCCTAAATTCTGACCTGAATTTCTTTTGACTCAGTTTCCTGTAGAACTACTGGCTGCAATCTCACATTAAGCAATAGAGCCCTTCTTAAATGAGAGTACTTCTTGTCCATGTCGCCTGCTTGTAGAACATTGGCAACACAGCTGTCAGTGCTTTTATCCCATGCATTTGTCTTCCATGTCACAACCTCTTGCAGGCTGGCTTCACAAAATTTCCATTAAATCAAATGTCAATTGAAGACTTATGAGACAGGAGTGGCAACAAAAATGATAACAGTTAAGAATGATGGTCTAAACAAAAGCGAAGAAAAATTGCAGGCGCCAAAATTCAGAAAATGTTTCTTTATTCCCCGCAAGAATATTAAGTATGTTTATTACAACACATGACAAACTGAATTAGAAGATTCATATTAGACCCAACCACGTCCATGCATTATCAAGGGAGCATGTTGTTTGTCTGATTTGTCATTTGATAAGTCTTACTCATCTGTTTACATAGGCATTTAGCTCTCATCCAAAGGCGTCTGCTTGGGTATTTATAAATAATTTATATTATCTATTTTAAGTATTAATGTCAATAATATTTGTTTATTGACATTATTTCATATATAATTCGTTACATCTGTTGTGTGCTGCAACAAATGCATTAAATGGCTTAATCCATCTTAATTGTACTTATTTTGGGGGTAGGGCTTGTATTATGAGCATACTAAAAAATATGCTGGAGCTTATAAATCATCTGAAAAACACTGGAAATCTTCACAACTCGTTATTTCATATTACATAATAGAAAGAGTCATGCATTTGATAACTAAGATTTTTTTGATCTTTGTAAATCTAATATACAGAATATCCATTGTAGTTTGTTCTTTGACTTTTGTGATCAGAATGAGCTCAGAGGTTTGCCAGCTCTGCCTAGAGGCCTTGACACCATTAGCTGAACAGTGTGCAAAAGCACAAGAAACAGATTCACCACTTTTTCTAGCAACTCGGCACTTTCTTAAGGTAAGATATTTTTGGTTGGCAGGTCAATAAATTGTATGCTTTGATTAGTATGGTTAATGCACATAATTCTTTATTCAAATTAGAAAATGCCCACATTCTTCTAGAGAGGAGGAAATAATTTTATTTTACTGTGCTTTCTAGAATCAGGTTTTCAGAGACACATTGTTTTCATCCATTCTTATTTTGTGTACTTGAAAATTGATGTGGGAAATATAATGATTTATTTGATAATTGATTATTCTGATACCACAGTGAGTAATAACATCTTCAATTTATCCTTGAAATTTTTAAAAACCATTTTATTTGATTTTCACTTGATTTAATTGAGTATAACTTTTCTCTCTCTTTTTCTTTTTTGACTGGAGAGAGGCTAGAGGATTTTTCAATCATCCTCTATTTTTATTTACCGTTCTTATTATTTAATTTCAGCTGGTTTTTGATATGCTGGTTTTGCAGAAGCACAACACAGAGATGACCACTGCAGCTGGTGAAGCTTTCTACACATTGGTGTGTTTGCACCAGGTACTGAACACCCTTCTCTGAAGGGTGATCTTGTTCAAAGAGATGATGGTTTATCACCACCCCAGTTCTTAATGGATCTGTGACAAAATCAGGCAGTAGTTTTTAGCTCCCTTATTAGCTCTTGGCTCCTATTCCATGTGTACCTGATTGTTTGTCAACTCAAAAGCATTTTCCAAATGCTTCTCCTCTGTTATCAGCCAACCTTTGCAGCATCACTACTCCAGAGCTTGTTCTTAGATGACTGCTAGAAGCCAGGAGTGCAAACCTCAGTGAGTAATGAATTTATGGCTCCTGTCCTTGAGGAACTGATTTGTGAAGGACATAAGATGAGTAAGATTGGGGACCAGGTGTAGTTTGTTTTCGGAGAAAATAAGGAACAATACATTATTTTGTGCAATATTATAGAAAGCAGCATTTTATTTTGCTGGACCTTTACAATTCTGAAATATCACTGATAAGGGATTAGTGTGACGAAAGCAGTTATGCTAGCTGACTAGTTTTCCTTCATTTTTCTGTCCATCCAGTATATACAGTATCCATATTGGATCATGTGCTGCCTCAGTTTCCTGTCCTCCCATGCCCCATGCCCAATCATATATGCTTTCTAACATGGCCAAATGATTTTCTAGAGGAGCTTTGCATTTATTTTCCTTTCTAATCATAGTAGGTGTTGAGGAGGTCCATATATTTAAAGCCCTGCTTCCTCTAGACTTCTGTGATCTCTGTGCTCTGTGATTTCATTTCTTGAGCTCTGCTCTAGCCTCCACTCTCTGCAGGTAGTATCTAGTATGATCAGTGGCCTTTCTGTCATTTGATCCTTTGTTGCTTATTAGGAAAATGGCATTTCTTACCCCTACATGTATCACATCTGTTACATCTAGAAGTCCTTTTCCCACTCTTTCTCCAGTAGCCACTTGACAGTGCTGGTGTGGAACTTTCAAAGTGCTCTGCATCCACTCTGTGGAACCTCTGAAACACCCTTCCTGTGTTTCCTTCCTCTCAGATATCTGCTGTCTTCTGAACTGTAAAGAAGGTGTCTTAGACCCCTGGAGAACTATTCAAAGTCATATTATCACTTAGGCTATGTATAAAATGTAAAATAAATGTATATAATGTAGCTGGACATGGTGGTATAGGCTTGTAGTTCCAGCACTCAGGTGACTGAAGCAGGAGGATCAGGAGATTGAGGCCAGCCTGGGCAATGTAGCAAGTTCAAGGCCCACCCGAGTTATATAGCAAGACACTCTCAAACATGAGGAGGAGAAGGAAGATATTTTTTTTTTAATTAGTACATTTTGTAACACATAATATTTACATTCCTTGTGGGGAGTTGGTATATGTACATAACTCACCTTAATTATTGGGTTCAGTCTCCTCTCTATGCCATCTCTTGATCCCCTAGGAGATTGTGTTTTGAAAACACAGAATAAGCAACACCATAAAGTGGTAATCACATGGGCTTGGAGACAGACTGCTTTCAGTCTTGCTTCTTAGCAATGTGAATCTTGCATGTATTATCTCATCTCACTGTTTGGCAGAACCTTCATCTGTAAAATGGGAGTATAAATAGTATCTGTTTCCTAGCAGTGTGAATTAGTCTATAGAGAAGATGAGATTACCTCAAGTAGATAGTAAATATTAAAAAGGATTGTCAGCCTCTGCTTCTTAGAGGGATAGAGTTTTATGGGGACCTTGTCTCTCCCACAGGCTGAATATTCTGAACTGGTGGAAACATTACTGTCAAGTCAGCAAGACCCAGTAATTTACCAGAGATTAGCGGATGCCTTCAACAAACTCACTGCAAGCAGCACTCCTCCTACGCTGGATCGGAAGCAAAAGATGGCCTTCCTAAAAAGTTTAGAAGAATTTATGGCTAATGTTGGTGGTCTCCTTTGTGTAAAATAAACAATAGAACTCTATGCTTAATTTAGATCCTTTCTGCAGAGTGCACTGAATTGCTGAAAGTTGACTTGAGTCTTGTCCTGTTCCTCAGTTCATTTGACTATTTTGGATTTTGGAGAGCCTGCAGCTTTGACACAGTATGTGATGAAATTGGAAAGTCAACTTTGAATCAGATTTGGCTGTTAGGTGTTAGCCACAATCTGCCATATACATTGTCTTCTAGATTTTGAATGGTTATTTGAAAATTTCAAAATGTAATTCCATGTATGTGCAAACAGATATGGGCACATATTCAGTGCCTTTTCCCCTTTGATCAAAACATAGGCAGCTAGCCAAAGTTTAGAATTTTTGCTATTAAATATTAGGTGGTCATGTTCTAAGCAATGTTTCTCAAAATGTTGCTCATAGATCACCTTGTCTCTTTGAGGAGCTAATTTTTAAAAGTCAATTCTTGGGCCCAGTTATAGACCTTCAGTTGGAACCTCTGGTTGTTGGACCCTTGAGTTTTTATTTTAATAAGTTCCTCCCCTCCATCACCCTGAAAGTTTTCACTACGAGAGACATTTGAAAAACCTTATGAGGTTTTGTGCTTTCCAGTATTTCCTCCCACATAATTAGGTTTGTGGTTCAGCAGGAAGAAAATTGTCACCAGGTGTTTGTGAGCTTCTTTTTAGTTCCTCTCTCCCCTCTTGTTTCTCCTTCTCCACTCCTTTATCTCCACCCTCACAGGTTTTGTGTAATTAATACATATCTCTAATCATGCTCTGATGTCTAAACTTGAGAAAAATATGTGTATATTTTTGTTCCATAAAAAGAACTTTGGGAACTGTAGCCATTTCATTGCCTTAATTTTAAGAGGGAAGTTTAAAAATAAAGGACAGATTTGTTTTAGTAAGAAATCAAGTCCTGATGGTTCAGAGTTGGCTTAGAGTGTTAGCTGCTATGAACCTGTTTGCCCCTTTTGATCATGTATTTATTTGAGTTTACAAGCGAAATGAAAAGCGCATTCCTGTATAGTTAACTGTATGAGTGCATTTCAATCTAGCTACACAGCCCATATCTACTCTGAATGGCTTGCTTAAGCAATAACTATTTTAAAGGATGTGAATTGTGATTCACACAGACTATTGCACATTGGGGCATTAGGGCAATAATTATGTTAGAGTGGGAGTTATGCTCATGTCACAGGAGCCACACAAATTTAATTTCAGAAGATAAAAAATTTACTTTAGATTCTCTAGCTTAATTTTTCTAATCAGGATTTTTATACTGCTGCCATGTTCCCCCTAAGTTTTTGTGCCAGCTTAAATTATGGAAACAAAAGCTGATTTATAAGCTGCAGGCATAGAAAACTGGCCACTGCAATCCTAGAGTCATACAATACAGTGAGGTAGAGGACTCTAGCACAGGTGCATTGAGACTGTGCTGTGAAGGGCAGGCCTTATTCTTCCGTACGTGCTGGACCTGTCTGCTAAACCACCCTGTGAGTGCAGTTATTAAATCTGGATTGCACATAGCATATGCGTCTTCACATAGGATGTGAAAAGCTCTGCAAAGCTTTGTCTAACTCTGTGCTGTTAACAGTTGCAGTTAACAAAACAGAAGCATCTAAATAATATCCAACCTGTGCCTGTGATGTTAGGTAGGAGTGAAAGGCCTATAGCCACAACAGAATCATTTTAATTTGATCACCATTGAGAAACAATAAAGGTAGAGCAAAAACATCTTAAAAGACTTCAAAGAACACCAGTATCACTCTTCATGGAATACATATCTTTGTACTTTGAAAAATATTTTGATCTGTTTCTTTTTAGAATTTTTTTTTCCTGGAAGAACTTAAAGTGATAGGCAGCAGTAGTCACTTCGTTTTTTTGTTGTTCCTGATATTTTGTGCTTCATAGCTCCCTTAAGCTTTTGCAGCAGTTGTGAGTTATGTGTGTCTGTGTGTGATAAGTACAGTCCCTGAGACAACTGAATGGATAGGTGCACTGGCTAGGACACAACTATAATTAGTTTATTATTAAAAGTAAAACATGAGTAGGAAAAGAATGCCTTGTAGTAAAGAGGCATCTATATTCAACAACAGCTACCCATGAAATGTATTTGCTAAATTTTGCCCAGATCCTGTTACAGCACTGAAATTTTATTAGACCAGTTTTATGTAAGACAACATTTACTCAGATTGGACCAAATGATACTGAAGAGATTACCACAGTGTCACTTAATGTCAAACTAGGGGAGAGAGGAGGAACAATCACCATATTTTAAGTAATGGGGATGCCACTTAATTGCACCATCTAGATTCTTCAGGGTGTTTGTGTTTTTGTTTGCCTGATTAGTCACTTGGAGCTTCTTTTATTTTGTCCAGCTTTTTCTTTAACTATGTTTATTAGCTCTTCAGATTTTTAAATTTTACTTAACCTTAGCCCAGTGAATATTGAGAATACTGGCTTGATTATAATAAATGTTTTTCCTTTTAAAACTGTTGTTAAAAGATTTTTCAAATATTATTTGTCGTCTTTTTATATATGCTAAAGGGACACTGTCAAGTATTTGATTTTTAAACTTTCTGTTGTTCACACAGTATTCTTTCACCTCATTTTCCATGCGTCCTTTGTTTTATTTATGTCTCAATTTATGTTCCTTGACCCATTTGTTTCCCATTATGTAATCACTGAACATTTTGTATCCTCACAATTTGTTAATGTAACAGCAGCTGTAACTGTTCTTATCTCTCTTGCTAAAAGGGGTGGTTTGATTTTATGGTCCTTGTGCTGGATGACTGCCTTAATAGCGAAACTTGCTTGACAGTGTCCTTTTCAACACAATTATTTAGGTCATTCTGCTGGGTGTCTTTCCTTTGGAAGGCAGTAGCATGTTAACATTGAGTTTTCGTCTCATCAACATTGTGATGTTTTATGTAAACAAACTTTGCAATTCATTAAGCTAATTTTAAGAATTCAACCTTATTTTATTGTACCTAATATATATTACATTACTCTGTTCAGATGAGATGGTTAGTATGTTTTTCCCAATTTTCATTTCCAAACCATGTATCTATATACTTTCCCCTTTGTCAACATCATTTAACTCTCCTCTTATTTAATGGTTGGACTTTTCTTTTGCCAAAAATGTCATCTTTATTTTCCTGATATCACCAAGTTTCTTGTCTGTTAATTCTTCCATGAACCTCTCAAATATTGAAAAGAAAATAGCTGTCAGCTTCAAAGATTTCAGGTTTGAGTCTCCTAGTGTACAGTGTTGATTCTACCCTGAAAATACTATTTTTCTCTGTTATAATTTTACTTGTGTTCTGTTTACCATCTCTGTTGTAGAGGTGGTTGTCATTGGACCTTATTAAGTTGGTTGCATCTGACGGGTCATTGTCATCATTGGTTCCTGAGTAAAATATTAAGCTTTTAAGTTAGAAGGAACCTCAGTACTTCTTAGGGTTTTGTTTTGTTTTGTTTTTAAGCCAGAGAATAAAGAAATGTTTTGAATATGAGGTTTCAACAAAAGTTTCTGTAAAATTTTCTACAAAACAACATAGATGATTTGAAGATATAATGATGTGTAGATTATTTTTAAATGTAAGTAAATTCTCTGAGTTGGTAACTTCTGAATACACTGCATTTAAGAATTCTTTAAAACTTGGTTTTTCTAAAATTAAAAAATGTCCACATTAGGCATATTGCTGAGCTTGAATTGATTAGAAGTGCCATGGTTCAAGTTGAACTTTAAACATTTCAGTTTAGTTGTAAATAATGTGATATATACCTGATTGATTATAATGGGAACCCATGACATATTTAGCCAAAGAATATATTTGGTTCAGGTAAAGATAGAAGCTTAATAATGGGCATCCATTTCTATTTTAAAAAGGATTTTCATGGCGAAATCTGTTTCTGGCCTGTAGCACTCTGTCTTTGTGAAGACCGAACACCCTGAGCCAGCTCCATGGTGATCCCTGGTATGAACTGGGAGGTGTAGCTTGTGCATTACACCTTCAGCGAGGCTCCACTAAGTACCATCTCCCCTCCTTACACCCTGTGGCTGAGTCTTCACCTGTTCCCAGGCCTTCAGCAGGGAGGTTTGGTTTGCTCCAGTCTGTGTTCTTAGACCTCTCAGCTGCTCGGCGCTGTCAGGTGTGCACTCACAGCTGATGTTTCTAGTCAAGTTCAGCACCATATCTGCACCATGTAACTACTGGGGGTCTGACCTCAAGTGTCCTCTGAGCCCAGGCTACCTGGTGTGGAATCTTCTGTCACAAAGTTACTATGACAGATTGCAAATGTTGGTATTGTGATTTGATTCTCTGTACAAAGAAGCTCTGTGCGGTGCGTTTGTGGTTTAATGGTCACAAAATGTTAGCACTGCTATATTAAGTACATGTAAAATTTTTTAAATTTATAAATATTAAACTTTTAAACTTACACTAAGACTTGTTTTTTTTTTTTTTTTTTTTTAAAGAAACCCAGGGACAAGTTTACTGTTTAAAATTTACCTCTGTTAACTAATAAAGGTATAAAGTTGTGTTAACTTTTCAAGAGATGCTGCAATATCATTTTAGGAAATAAGGATGTGTATTGAGCTACTTACAAGTGGAATATCAAATTGATAAAATTTTATTTGTATTTTTAAAATCCATACATGGGAGTTGAAATGTCTTTTCACTAAATATTTTATTACATTTTTGTTTTGACCATGTGTGATTTGTTCACGGGTACTTACCTACACACTTTTATGAAACATACTGCTCTGGTGCTATTTCACTTACCATCATAGAATGCTTGACACCGGGAACATTATACTGTCCTAAAATAAGTTAAATGAAAGACATATAGATGAAATAGAGATTTGCATTATTTTCCAAAAGAACACCCAACCCTTATAAAGCATCTAGTATTGAGAATAAAATCAAAATGTTTTGTTCTGTAGTATTTGTCTCATCCCACATTTTAGAAACAATTTCAGTTATTAACTAAATCATTAGATTTAGGACATAATTTTTTTTTTTTTTTTTGGTACCAGAGATTGATCTTGGGCCCTGTGCTTGTGAGGCAGGTGGTGAAACCACTGAGCCAAATCCTCAGCCCAAGGACATAATTTATAGTAAATAGTAGCTTGCATCATTCTTTTTTATCTTTAAGGGAAAGTGGAAAATTAACACTCTGCTGTGTTTAGACTTTCACCCTTCCCCCAGCTTTAAATCTAATAAAACATGCAGTAAAAAGTTGATTTTTAAAAAATGCAATTTAAAAATATATTAATTTTTAATCCAATTTTGTTTTGAATATTACTTTTAAATAAGATTATGACACTTTCACTCTAAACAGAAAAGTTGAGTGATTGGAGTATTTTGAAATTTTGTTTCATTACTAAAGGTGGTGCCATAGGCACAGGCTCATCTGTTTGAGAGCTATAGGTGATTTTCAAAAATCACATAAAAATATTTTTAAAAAATTTTTTTAATTGCTTTCCATTTTTAAAAACACTGGTGCTGGCCAAAAATGCAGCCAATTTATATGAAGTGGTTTCTCAATAGGGAAAGGGAAGGGGGATGTTATGAGACCCCTGCAGTGGGTCCTGGTCTGCAAGCCAGTATGACATCCACAAGACAGAAAAGTGGGAAAAGACAGACTTAAGAGAAACAGCTTTGGGCTGATCTGAGCTGCTCTGGGCAACAAAGACAAAAGACTCACAATACATCGGGTGTCATAAGCGGGGGAAGAGGGGAAACGGTAGGCTTGAGACACCTGCTGATAACAAGTATCAGGCGGGCGGAACTATAGAATGAGGAGGGCACAAGCACATTTTCGCTGAAGAGAACAGTTAAGTTAGAGGGGAGGAATTCAGTTGGAGCCAAGTTGACCTCGGCTGGAAGTGGACTTCGCTGATTGGACTACTTCCAATGTAACACAGCCAAATTATGGTGGGGGAAGAAGCTACTGTAGTTCTAATATTGCACAGGGGTGTCTGCTACAGTTTTGACCAATGCCTTTGGCTTGCTGGTTAGTTTATGGATTTTTTTTTTTTTAATGTAGGATCCGAGATGGATTTTGCGTTCTATATCATCTCAAGTGGCATTTAAACTTTTTTAAAAGAATTCAATGGAAGTGAAGGTCGTGTTTGGTGAGTATAATGAGAAAAGACTTCCTGGGAAGTTATGACTTGAGTGGCAGCATTCTGTCTCAATTTTAGCACAAAAACCAACAACCTGAGTTATTTCTATGTAAATTATTTTTAACATGCAGCATAAAAGTTAACTGAAGTTAAGTCATTAGTGTTGCCTAGAGTCACTAGTGCTTATCTTTATTCCCGTAGTATTTAGCAATGTTGAAGTTTTAATACTGTTTACTTTTGCCTCCTTTGCCAGGTTAAGCTTCAGATACTTGTATTAGTAGTGGAACTTCTCGTTTCTGGACCTTCTCATAAACGCACTGCCTAGGATTGTCCTTCCTGAGAACTGACCTGGCAGAGCTGTTTGAGCTGGTATAGATGGGAATGTACATTAAATGCTACACAACTTAGAGATTACATTAATTTTCACAGGTCCATCCTGTATTAATAGTAGATGCTTCATAAATTCCATTGTATTTATTAGTCCTAGGAACACATTTTACTTTGTTAGATAGATGTATTCTAACAAGACTAATAACTGATAATAATTTAAGATACTGCCATATGTTCTATACAGTGTGATCTTATAGCTCTAGCTGCCTCCACCACAGTGATGTTGTAATAGTTTGCCATACTATTTAGTCCTTTTTTTTTAGTGAGAAAACTGACATATTTAAGTCAACCATCTTAGTTCATTTGTGCTGCTTTAACAGCATATTTGAGACTAATTTATGAAAAACAGAAATGTGTTTCTCAGTCATAATGGCTGGGAAGTCCACGGTGGAAGCATGGATGTCTGGCAAAAGCTTTCTTGCTGAGTTCTCACGTGACTCAAGATGGAGTAGTAAGAGAGAACCAATTCGCTTATTAAGTTCCTTTATAAAGGGGCCTAATCCTATTCTTGATGAGGGAGTCTTCTTACCCTAATCATCTCTTAAAGGCCCCACCTCTTGTTACTGTCACATTGGCAACATTTCAGTTTTGGAGGGGACTCATTGAAACAATAACCCAGTGGTAGTAAACCTATGGCACTGGTGGTGTTTTTCTTTTAAAACAGAAGATGTTAATGTAGGGTTGTTTTTTTCTAAACTAAAACCTCAGTATTCAGGTTTACTTGCAGTGTTGGGACTTTGTAATAAGTAAGTTGGGCACTCAGTCTCTAAAAGGTTCACCATTGATGCCATAGACTACCATTTACATTTCTGCAGTGTATGTATTTATCGTTCCTACAACAACAGTCTTGAGTGATTCCCAGCGTGAATTTCATGCATAACTAGTCATTTTTTAACTTAGTCCATTAATCAAATAAGTTTGAAAAATGAAACAAGTTTCTTTATTATGTCAAGTTAGAGGCTTATTTAAAACAAATTATGTTCTGAAGCTTACAAATTTTTAATGAAGTTGGGTTTTTTCTCAAAGTATCTTAAGACTAGAATTCTAGGGAATATCCTTTCCAATCCTTAGGATTATTCCAATAATTTGGTGATAGAGCACCAAAAATAGAAGAAAAACACAATCCTGTGTTTTTATAATATTGGTGGATAGATGAATAGGAGATAGATTCATAGATAGATAGAAAGAGGCAGATAGATGATAGATAGGTTTTCTTTAAGGTCAAGCATGGCATATGCCAGTAGTGCCAGCTACTCAGGAAGCTGAGGTGTAAGCCCAAGTTCTAGGCTAACCTGAACAGCACAGAACAAAGGGGAGGTGAGTATTGAGATTTTTCTAGTCATCTCCATTTCTCTGTTTTAGACAATTTCTCAAAAGTAGCAAGATAAGGAGCTAAAGGTGTAGGGAAGGTGGGATAGGTAGGTAGGGGAAGGGTAATAAGGGAAAAGAAAAAAATACAAGATAATGAAAAGATGTAAATAAAGAGTTTGTGGAGGGGGTCAAGGGAGGGTAGAGACAAGGGGAAAAAATGAGGACCAAGACCTGTCATGTAGAGGTACAAGATCCCAACAATGAATGTAGCTGTACTGTATCCCTAAAATGTACCAATAAACTCAAAGCTGAAAAAAAAGTAGCAAGATGTACAAAAATCATTGGTGATAATACAAAAGAAAAATTTTCTAAAAAACTTGAAAGCACCTTCTAGTCCAATTTAAGTGGACAAATAATTTGACATTTTACTTTCATGATTTATGACAATTTAAATTACAGTGCATAGATTTCACCAGGAAAATATTAATTTTCACATATTACTGTCCTGCTTTCTGAACAATTGGCAAATACTGAAGTATAACAATTGTAGCCCTTTGATGTCTGGTCACTTCAATTGTAAAAATATATAGTGAAATACATGAAGGCAATTATTGCATCTTGCATGCTATTAAACAATGGAAGCTTTGAATGCTTAAAAGGATCTACTTTTTATCCAAAAATAATTTGCTTCAACATATACTTTCTTGATAACTTACATGCTAAGTGGTATCTTATGTTTGGAACACTACCTCTAAAAATAAACTGCCTTAAGTTGATTATAATTTTTTTTCTGCTTCTTTGCTAAGTTATACCTGGTTTTTAAATATTTGGTTTAATAGATTTGTATCAATTCACAATGAGGCCTGGGTTACTATAGACTGAAAACAGTACTTAAAATAGGAATTATAGCACACTCAGTTATAAGCCTATTGTTTCATGAACTACATAGTGAATGACATCATTGGCAGCTGAACAATACTTTTATATCATAAAGTATGTAAAGCTGATCAACAGAATATGTAAAACTCAGCAAGATGAAAATGGTAAACGAAAGTGGTAGGAGCAATATAGAGTGACTGCTGTGAGGTACAAGAAACATATATCACTTATGATTTGATAATCGTCAAGATGAAAGGGAACTTGCTTCCCATAAGGATCTGTATGGGCCAAAATCTAAAGTGGTTGTGTAGTTGAAAAAGATTGTACTTAGGGAGCTACATGTCTGTTTTAATATATATTGATCATTGCATTCAACACCAAAGGCACTGAAAGACTGAAGAATTTGATTCTTTGCTAATTCAATCATTATAAAGCTTCAATTTAGTATTTCAGTCCTCATTTTGACTTCCTGCTTGGACAAAGAAAGACTAGAAAATCTGTACTTCTCAGTGAAAAACTGTGCTTAACTCCAATCTAATTAAATATGAAATTAAGGCCTGGTACAGTGGCCCAAACCCATAGCCCAGAACTGTGGGAAAGTGAGGCAGAAGGATCGTTAAGTTCAAGCCTGGAAATTTTAGAAATTCAGCAAGACACAGTATCAAAAAGGGCTAGGGATGAAGCTCAATGTGAAGGTCACTGGGTCAATCCCAAGAACACAAAAAATAACATAAAACCTTAAATATTTTTGCCACCATTCTTAGAAGCAACTGCTGAGACACTGAAGCTGGGAGGAATGTTACTGCCAGCTCACCTCAGGCCTTGTGGCTCCTAAACACCTGGTGGAACACTAAGGACAAACCTAACACTAAATGTAACCCTGGTGGAATTCTACACCTAATTCTAACCTTGACCTTAAGCCTAACCATAGTGGAACTCTAGTCCCAAATCTAGCTCTAGCATGAGTCCTTGCCCTACCCCTAGTACTAAAAATAACCTTAAACATAATTGTATCCACAACCCTGGTGGAACCCTACACCTAATTCCAAAACTAATCCCCTAACCCTCATAAAACCCTAATGCTACCATTAGCAAAAGCCCTAGCCTGAGCTCTATCTAGCCCTAGCCCAAGCACTGTCACTGTAACCTTGAACATAAACCTAACCTGGTAGAATATCAGTCCTAGCCCTAGCTGTAGCTATAAGCATACTTATAACACTGTAATCCAAACACTAACCCTGGTAAAACCCTAAACCTTACACAAAACCTAAACCCACCCTATACCTAAACCTAACCCTGGTGGGATTCTAGTCCTAGCTCTACCCTTAGAACTAGCTCTAGGCCTAGCCCTAAATGTAAGCCTAAACTAAATCTGGTGGAACACTAGGCTTAAACCAAACTCATACCCTAACCCTAATCCTAAACCTAACTTGTTTTATTGTACCAGAGATTGAACTCAGGACCTTGTGCTTGCCCTAGCCCAAGGCTCTTGTCTTAGCCTTAGCCATAGTCCTAGCCATATCCCTAACTGTAACCATAAGTGAAATACTAACATTAACTCAGATGGAACCCTTGCCCTAGCCCTAACCCTAAAACTACTCATTACCACAACATTGGTGGAATTTAACCCTACCTGAAGAACTATTTTTAGACCCAAACCTATTCCTAGCCCAAACTGTAACTAAACCTGGTGGAACCATAAACCTAATCTAACCCTGGAATAAGATTATGGTCCATAAACCTACCCTTAACCTGAACCATAAACCCTACCAGATGCCAGATTGGAAACTTAAACATAACATTAAATCTAATTCTAGTTAGGACCTAGCCCTAGCACTAGCCTTAATTCTAATCCTAGTGGAAGACTAATCCTAAACCTAACAACAAATCTAACTTTAACCTTTACTCTGGTGGAAACCTAACAGTAATCCTAATCTTAACTCTAACTATGGTAAAATACTAGTCTTAGGTCTAACCCTAGCTCAAACCCTAGCCCTAGCCCTAGCTGTACCCCTATATTTAACAATAAACCTAACACTAAACAACCCTAATCCTAACCCTAACTAGAACTGTATCCCTAACCACAAGCCTAAACCTATCTGGTGTAGACCTAGCCCAGCTCTAATCTTAAACATAACCCTAACCCTAACCCTAGTGTAGACTGGACCTACACCAAACCCATATCCCAAGGCTAACATAGGCCTAACAGTAATCCTAACCATAAACCTAACCTATAGTAAAATTTATGAAACATTAAATATAACCTGACCCTAACCCTAAGCAAAACCGTAACATATCCCTAGACATTACCCTAACCTAACCCCTAATTCTAATCCTAAACTTAATATTAGCCATAGCATGAAAGCAACAGGAAATCAGCCTTACACCTAGCACTAAACGTGCCCATAAACCCTATCACCAACATTAAC